AATTTCATAATCTTTTGAATAATTACTTGACTGGTAGGCAGGTTTTCCAAGGGCAACATTAACGAGAGCTGAAGTTAAGTAATCATAAAACCTTTACACTTTTAACATTTTTTTCAGACTATATTTTCTTAACATATTTTCCTTAACCTGTAACAAAATCGATTTTTAGCATGGTTAGAATTTCTTACATAAAATGTGTAAAAAATTTAAAGGATTGCAAAATCGAAATATAAAGTACTCGTATAAATGTACTTTTTAAGTTGATATTTTACCTGCATTTGACCGTGTTGTTTTCAGAACAACCATAATCGTCAAACCTACCTGAAATATCAAAGGCAGAAATTTTTTTTGGTGTTTGCATTCCATAAGTTTTTTATGATTATTTCATATTTATTGTACTTGTATGAGTGGTATTTTATCTATTTGGCTTAGTATCAAATATATTTACATTACATGTATAAGTGACAATAATTGTATTTATACTGTTGGAATGATTCATTTAATAGGAACAATATTTATCCGAATATCATATTAGAATATCATACAAAAAATAATACAAGATCTAGTTATGTATTCAACATACAACAGTAAAGAACTTCACTCACACTTTAATTAAGGAGAATAAAACTATATACGACAATTAAGAATACAATAAACTATTTTATACCAAGGTAGAAAATATCAACTTCATCATGCTTTACAGCTTGACAATATTCCCAAAAGACAAGCGTTAAATCAAAGCTCTTTCTTCTGAAAGTGCAAAAATTATATTATGTAATCCAACTAAAAAGTGCAAAAAATGCTTATATCTAACTATTATGTTAGTATGTTTTCCTTGACCATTTATGTAATAATAAGCCTATTGCCCAGTCAACAGTGATAAATTGCCAAGATATAAAAAATTATAATTTTTCTGTTTCAAATGAAAAATGGCGGTTTTGTTAATCGTGATAACGCGAAAACTATTTTCCATGTCATTCGTAATTGACGAAATCTTTATATAAAAAATATGCTTGTATTTAAATAGAAAACAAAAAACACAAAAATGACATTTTACGAAGAAAAAAAGCAGTTCAATTGAATGTATCATGGCTAATATTTCTTCGAAGTACAAATGACAATAAAATTTTCTATCGTGAACATAATATTTTATGACAGCAATTGAAACGTAACAGACAAAAAAATACAACGAAACTTAAAAAAAGATGCCAAAACATATCATTTTATTACCCCTCACTTTTTTCGTAATGTTAATATCCCATAGGCCTCTGGGAGATATTCTTACTGTAAATGCAAGTGTACCACGTGACTAAGAATTTTTTAACAGTATAAAATCTTGTCACGTGGTCTATTTTCTAAATAAAATGAAATACATTTTTCTCTCGATTCATCCTTTAATGGCGATAGGGTCTAGGGCATCACTAAAGTAACTATGACTCTCATAAAATTTAGTTCTTTGCACCTTAGAGTAAATATCTTTTTGTTGAATAGCCGAAAAGTAAACATCCGTTTTCAACGGAAGTATTGTAATGCGTCAAACTGGAACATGCAGACGATTAAAGCATGCAACAAAGGATTATTTAACAATTTTAACCAGTGAAACAGTTACAGAAATCTGAAGGATATCACCATTATTTTGTAAATACACTTTGTCAAAAAACATGCGAAGAATATTCTGGATACGGAAGGATCAAATTTCACAGATTATTACCTTATAAAAGGGTCAGTGTTTTGTTTTCTAAATAAAACACAGCTTATTGTATGTTTTTGACTGTTAGATATCATCACTTGCTCTAAGAATAACTCAAGTAGGCCTACAGTACACTTAAAACTTGCAAGGTAAGGACAGTTTAGTTATTGCTACTCTTGGTTTATTTTTGTAACAGTTAGATCTAGTTTACAAATTCAGATTATCACAGTATTTCGCCTCGGGTATCAGTATTTTCCTCGGGATGATATTTTTACTGTTACCCACAAACCCATGTGTTATTTATATAATGTCGACCAGGTCTCGTATATGTGTACATATATATGTACAAAAACCAAACGCATCTTGGTTTAGATTAAACAAACTTGGATTCTTTTCATTTTTATGAAAATAAAATGTTTGTTTTTCTATCTATGAGTAAAACAAAATTGTTTTAAATGCGTTTGCTGTTCGAATGACATTTAATATATATATATATATATATATAATATATATATATATATATATATTATATATATATATATATATATATATATATATATTATATATATATATATATATATATATATATATATATAAGAACTGTTTCTTTGATTAAAAAAGGAAGAAAATCAAATTGATTAAATTCACACTTAGAAAACAGAATATTTTAAAAAACTTATTAGATGAATAATTTAATGTACGTCAATGTTACTGTGTTTGAAAGAAACATAACAAACATAAAACTAAATGTTTTTTTGTAATATTTTGAAAGAAAACAGTAAAAAAAATATTTTATACTCACATTTTCACTGAATGGTCTTCCGAGTTGCATATGCTGGTAGTCTGTTGGTTTGTATTGATTATATACTGTTCGTGTGGCAACATACTGTAACATTTCAAAAGCCAAAATTTACTTATCAAGCAATAGATTTTGTACACAGGATCTTATCACATTGTGTGGGTACAAAAGACTTCATGAAACATGTGTGGAGATGAAAATTTTCCTTTGAAGATAAGATTTTCAAGCAATTGTTTTAATTGAAAACTTTGTAGCCATAAAGCTTACATAACAATTCCAAAACACGTTATTTATGTGACATCTGCTGAGGACATCATTTGCTTCTTTTTTCAATAGCTGCCCCGGCCAGTCATCATATTGAGTGGGTAGGCATGCCCAATAAATATGCTAAATATACACTGATTTATTCACAGAATTATGATTAATTTGCTAACACATTTTTACGTCTATGTAGCAGAATATACACGTTAACGAGACTTAAATTGTCTTTATTCCTTTATAATCACTGATACACAATCTACTTGCCTAGCATTGTGAGCATGATTTACAAGTTCAATACTAAAAACAAATATTCTTTCGGTTGTGCCCACATTTAAAACATATTCCAGTGAAGTCTATATTATTTCAGTTGATATTCCGAGTTTATCCCTGAAATACCTACTAATTTTATCGTTTTTGTATGGAGATATTTATTTAAAATGAGCTATTATAACAAAATTTCCATAGCACAGTTCCAACTATTTAATTGACACTACAATTATATATAATGTGTAACCAAATCTAAAATATAGAACACCACTCTGAAAATGTTAAAAGACATAAATTTAGTATTCACAGTTTAAAATGCGGTGCAAGTGACTTGAGGCATAAAACTAATAAAGATACATGTATATTGTAAAGACTACTGTACATAAAGGCTTTGTATTATACCAAAAAGTGGAAACAGGAAAACGTATATACACATATAATAATATATACATGTATATACATGATCACTAACACTCTGACGATGTACAAATACAAGTAGGTTATTGTAGCACTATCAATTGATTCTTCTTCTCAGAACAACACAACAGAATTTTTAGAAATGTGGACAGCAATTTTAAAAATTAAGATGTTATATAATAATCACCTCTATTGAGTATCCGCAAGCGATTTGTCATTATCTAGATTGTACAATTGTGAGTTTAGTCATACAAAGCGACACATGTTTCCAGACATGTTATCTAGTATATGATATACACTACACAAATAATTGCTGACTTGTCGAATAGGTAATTTAAAGGTAGGTGTGTTTAAGAGCATAACTTATTTCATAGTATATCTCTCATATAATCTGATTAAAATTTATAGAATTATCGATCAGATTCTTCAATCTAATTGTGAGAATCGCCTGATTTTTTCTCTCTGAGCGAGTATAATTCAATTTCTACTATTGTTGATCGATAGTGTACTGATAATTTGCAACTATTTAGTTTCTTGAAGGATTTCTCAGCTAGAGGCGGGTGTGTTGAGACCTGTATTGCTCCAAATAATAATGCAATGGTTACGACAACATACTTTTAACAAAAACTCGTCTATCCAAGATTGATTATTAAATTGTCTTTTATTTGACTGGCATTGTGGCAAATCTAACAATGCCAATTAAATTCAAAAGTACTGTAGATGTTGGCTCGCTTTTCAATATCATTAGATCATATAATATAGCGTATCTCCGGTCAAGTGTCGAATTACCACTGGGCGCGGCTCGACTCCAATTTCGTTATAGCTATCTGGATATATTAATATACACTTTCTCCGGTAACACTTAATCATTAAGTATGTTGACCTAATCCAGCTTATATGTGAATTAAAAAAAAATGTTTTAATATTGTATCAGATTCGTATTAACTATGGTAATTGTCGTATCTGTAAGATATGGCTTGAATGTTCGTTTATTCTTCCAAACTCTGTTGCCACCTTGATGGGTCACATGACTTAGAAAACCTTAGTGCTCTGCTTGTATTTCGCTAAGGTAGTTACAAAGAAGGATTAAATAAGTAAAAGAAATAAAGAGTGTTGAATAAAGTAAAATCTATATAAGTAGAGAAGATCAGTTATAATTCCTATTATTATGTCAGTCAACGCGAGCGATCCAGAGTGTATATTTTTTTAAATACTCCTTCGGATATACCATGAACACATTTTGCATATAATGGTAATCTCTCATTGTGGTAAAAAAATTTTAATAGATATATTAGATCGGTGTATGTAGTGGTTGTGTAAATAAATAGGTACAACCATATGAACAAAAATAATTATTTTAAATATATGGCGAAAAGCGACATATTGTGTGCTAATACTTCAAAAAGTGTGAATATAAGGTAAATCGCTTATAAATTCACAATACATTGGGCTCATAGAAATAAAATAATTACTCGATTATTTATACACTGATATATTCTATTAGAACAAACTTAGCACACTCACGTTATGTAAATGACTAAGTACCGTGCTTTAGATTGTTTGCGTTGCATAGCTGTCTGTATTTCCCCTTATTCTCAGGTAATCACTATAACATGTCTTTTAGAAATGGACAGCAATGAATAAAGAGTTTATAATAAAGATACCTTTGTAGCTAGAACTGCCGTATTATAATAATATATATGTTCATCATATTTCTGTGATTTATTACCTTTGAACATTGCTCTGTGATATATTGTCATTTGAAAGCGATTACGAGCATCGAGAGTGTAACACAGACGGATGTTCATAGATGATGTATTTGGATTTCCAGTTAAAATGCAAGGGCGATAGATATTTCATTTTAATCTGATATTCAGACATTCTGCATGAAAACGAATTTTATTGTGTAAGAATTGAATCTTTAAGTTCAAATGAATCACATTAAAATGGAAGCAAAGTGAAATAGCCGGGTTTTCATTGGTATAATGAACAATGTAGGAAATCTATGCAAATTTAATTATTTGCAATCATACAAAGATTAATTGATTTATTGCATATTTGGTACGTCCTTTAAAATTATTCATTTAAATGAAAGTATTATTATTGGTTTAGACACATGCAGGCATGTTCTTTTTAGTGCTTTAACACATAAAAGGTTTTCTATCAGCTTGTTAGAATTTTCTGTACAGAAATATTAGTGAAATTATTGATATGTTAATTTATAAGATTATATCATAATGTCACGTCTGGTAAGGACTTGCAAATATGCAAATATAATTTCATCTTCTAGGATTAAAGGCAAATTATGCTTCAGATACAAATAAATTCTATCTTCTTTAAAACGTGCAAGCATGAGTTTTGATGACGTTTGATTAACAATTTTAGAGTATGTTACTTGAACAAAATAGCGCAACATGTGAAACAGTTTTTCATAAAAGTAGCAAATCATTTTGTCTCCACACGAAATACTAAATCACTATTACAATACAAATTGCCCAGAAGACAATCTTGATTTAGGTTTTTTTGCAAAATGAGTAACTTTATTTTTAAAAAAAGAAACTATTGTAAAAGTACACTAAAGATAAAAAGGTTTTGGAGAATGAAGTAAAATTATTTCTCGGGCATTATTCGTAGAGAAATAACGTCATTTCCATTGGTAAGAAAAAAAACAATAATTAACATTTCCATTTTATTTATTTCAAATCGAAACAATTAAAGTCATAAAACGACTGACTTTCAAATATTATTGGTGGAGGATTTTACAATCTTATTTTCGAACAGACAGGTGGTAACCAACAAATTCCTTTTTGGTCTATGTTTGATATTGAGTTTCCGGCGTACATGCTGCATTTTAGGTACATCAGAACTAAAAGTACACTAATTATTAATTTTATGTACCAATGTCCTTAATGGAATTGAGAATGTCATACATGCTCTTTATGAAAATGCATTCTTGTGAGAGAGATTCAAATTTCAACACAACGTGCACACGTTCTTTGCCTTGCATGAATTGTCATTTTACAAATGGTAAAAAATTCCAACTGCATTGTCAGTGGTATTTAAAAGAATAGTGGTACATTATTAAAACTTACACCTCAGTGAAACTCATGTAAATTTGAAACATAATCACCTTGCCACCTTACTAGTTTTGTATTTTGATATCATTTTTATAATGATACCTAAAGTACAGTTCTGTTGTCATGAACCTTTTGCACAGTGCCGTCATATCAATCTAGGTCTTGTTGATATTTTCCGGTAAAATGTGACTCGCATGGTTTTTGCTTTAAAATAGTAACCATGTTATTTAATAAAGCTTAGTTATCCAAATGAAGGGTATTTGTAATTGATTCTTACAAAATTAATAGAAGTTCATTGATATGTAGACGAGACTGAAAATAAATGCAAATATATATGTTTAAAATCAGCCCTGTATCTTCATATTTCTCCTCCTTTTTTAGATTATGCTTGTTCGCTTATTTTGTTGAAAAAGACAATATTTGTCAATATGCATTATTGCCTAGCTATAGTTTTAAGAGTTTTAAGAGTATAAAGTTTTTATCCATTTGTCGAACAGGCAAGTATTTGTGCTTAATCAAGAAATAGTTTTTACGTTAGCATGCCTGCAGTATATCTTACATGAAATTATGTAAATGTATGTTATAAATATTCTTAACTTTAATAATGTCTTTTTTCATTATTTTTGTTTACAATATGAAGAAGTAGATTAAATTTCGTTTATTTTTTAAAGTTTTAAATGTATTGATGGAACGAGGTTATCATCTGTATGAGAATTGAAAGGTGCAAGTACAGATATGAAACTTTTCATTTTGAAAAAAAAAATTATTAATAAAAAAACATGTCAAAGCGATGCTGGAAGTGTGATGTTATTTTTTCACTTTTTTGCCTGCTGTCAATGCATTACTTGGCACATACAAAAAATGAATGAGAAACATTGATATATTTTACATATATTTCTTAACTGAAAATTGGTAAAACACAGTTTATATGCAGTAGAAAATAGTAATATAGAGATCATTTGAAACCTCTTTCTCCTATGTTTTGTGGCTAATAGTCTGATCATGTAATATCGATATGATTCTTAAAAACTAGCTAGCTTGTG